ATCGTTTTCCTGTTTTGTTTTATTATTATTATTATTTTTTTTTGAGAGAGAACAAGGAGACTGAGTAGCGTGCTCTTTGCTTTTTTTCCCTCTTGAAGTGAATTTTTGAGGTCTTGACTTCACTTACCTGGTTAGTCAGAGATGCACGGAGCACTTGGGTGATAAAACTTAACGGCATGTTCTCTACAGGTTTAACTTAACTATATCCCATCCCTGTTCTCCCGTTCTGACACCCGTTTCAAAGACACAGTACTGCAATGGTGTGCTTTGTCTTTCATTATTTTTTGAGTTCAATGGGCTCTGTAACAATGCGATTCACTGTTGCGAGCACCTGTCAAACTCATGACAGGCTTGCGTGCCCGTCCCACCTTTGCCGTGCCATGAACAACAGGCAGTCTGTTCTGGGGCTGGGCTGGGCTGCTCTGGTTTTTGTCACTCAGCACACTCTTGCTACCGCTCCCCGCCTTCCCCAGGCTCGTGTGTAGATCCCGTCTGGCTAATATAGCAGCCAAGGGGAACTTCTGCAAAGATGTTTTGGCTTAAAATAGACTGGTGCCTTCTTTTCACACAACTGACCAGTCTAAACAACAACGACAACAACAACAAAAAAGCGACAAACAGGACAAAGAACGAGTTAAAATATTTGCTGATGCTGGGTTTATCGGGAGAACTTCGGTAACACCTTTGAGTGATGCCCTGTAAAGGAAGAGATGGTGTCTTGTCTCCCACACGGTTCCGTTGTTTCAGATTTGGGGAGCAGGGACTGATTTGGATGACCCTTCTCACTGAGGAGTGACGACGCAATACAGAGGGGGTGATGAATGAAAACAAGGGCCTTAGTTCGGCTCTCCTTATGTTACATTTTGCACCACATTTCCCAAGTGTTTTTAATTTATTTTGCTACATATTTTTCAGTATTTGTATGTTGCCGGGAAAGGGGTTTGTTGTGCACACACAGTTGGACTTTATAGCGCTGGACACTTGAAATGATGGACACTTCACTCTTGCATTGCAAGCCTTGGACTACTACTGATGTTCCAAGGCCTGAAATTAAGCAGAAAGTACCAATGAAAATGGGTTTGTAAGAATAAAAAAAAGCTTTAAAAAAGTTAAAAAGCTCACCAATACAAATTGTCTTTCTGAATTGCAAAATGTGACTGGATACTTCTTAGTTTTGTGACCTGGTTGTGCCCCTACACTAACGTGTGCAGTGTGGAGGGAACGAAGCTGTTGGTGTGCCTCATGATAACCAGAGTTGTTGCCTGTCTGTGAGTGGCATCTAGGGCTGTACCTGAAAACTACTGTGGTCCTGCCATAGCCACAAGGCAAATCACCCTGCAAGTACATTACAACCCAGTATGCTTCTGTAACAGGCATCATGTGCAGAGCTGTGATGTGAGGAAGCTTTACTAGCACGGGTGGAAAATAGTCAGGTTTTGGTAGACTCCACTTGTATTCTTCTGATACAGTATCTCAGAATTCGGTTTAAAGTTTGGATGAAGAAATCAGGAGATAAGGTATTGTCAGAATGCAGAAAACGTTTTGACCTTTGGATGTATGTTCTTCAGCAAGACCTTGAACAATTATTCTCCTTTTTAAAACAGCATACCATGAGTTTTCTCAGGTCTTCCATTTCCTCTGAAGATACAAAACATTTTAAAGCCTTATGAGCACCTTAGAAAAATCTGCACTTCTATAAAATTCCCCATACTTGAAAACAAGTTTTCAGATAACCTGCTTTTTCAGAGAGCTGGCACAGAACTGGAGACAGAAGCAGGTGGATTACTAGGGAAAAGGCATGAGGCAGAGGGAACTTCAGGCTATGAAGTTCCTGCTGTTCTGCTAGCACACCCACTGCTTCTGAAACGCAGCCTGCCCTCCTGCCCTCCTAAAAAACCCACACGGCCAAATATAGAGGTATTTAATTTCGTCAGAAGTCATCTTGCTGTTAGACTTGTTCCAATTGCTCTGAAAATGCACAGAGCAGTTCTTCCTGTTGCTTTCCAAGTTGCACATGAACTCTCGCCAAAAGCATGGAAGGTTTAAAGGACAGCAGTGAACTCTTCTGCTTCCCTACAAAAAACCTACACAAGTTTGCTTTAAAAATATTGAGCACTACTGTATTATAGGCTATTACATGGAACAGTCTGATACGATTTAGCTCTTCTTCAGATACTTGTGTCAATGAAATAGTGTGCTCTTAAGATGGCATGTGATGCTAACAGCATTAACATTGATTCTTCATTTAAGTACAATGTCATTTTTGGGTCTTCT